ATATAGAGAGTTATATGTAGAGATGATGAAATGGATATTATATGCGGATACAAAAAGAATAAATAATAATGCGGCAATGAATAAAGATACTGAAATAGTATATGCGGAAATAAATGAATAAAGATATAAAATAAAGAGGGGAACAATTATAAGAATTTCTACGAAATTAGTACGAGAAATAAATAGTACAGGAAAAGAAGTAATGAAATTGGGAAAGTACTTGGAAATTTGATTCTTAAGTTGATATAATTAGTGAAAGATTTGTAGATTTTGTTTGGAGAAGTCTGTATTTTTCATAGAGTAAATTATTAAAAAAAAAAATATTCAAGAGATATGCTTATTAATAAAAGTCAGTTTATTGTTATGTTAATATTAATAAAATGTTTAAGTTTATCGGTAAGAATTTAGATTTAGTAAGTGCTGATAGTTAGCACTGAACAAAATCCAAATTGGGGGGAAGTTGAAATGATTTCAATAGGTCAAAGAGGATATAACTTAAAGGGATTTTTATATGAGTTTGTTGTTCATGAATTTCATGAAGCCATCACAATGTGGGGTCGACTCTGAAATAAAAGGGAGAAAAGATTAGTAAATTGCTAAATAAATTAATTTTGACTTACCTGGTATAGTGTTAATAATTTCTGAATAGTATAGTTGCCTAGTGTATAGGTGAATCGTCTAAACCTTAAAAGGAATAAAAAAAGAAGAATTCTTAAAAAATTATTTAAACATAGAAATTTTAAAAATAAACGTCAGAAAAATAAACTGTCAAAAGTCTGTGGGAACTAAATTAATAGGGGTTTTGTTAAATAAATTACAATGATGTGGAGATGAAAAGAATAAATTATATTAGTATTGTTAAGTTTTATATCTGAATTTTTTTTTAAATTCCCAAATTAGATGTGATTAAAGTGCTTATGAGAAATTAATGTGGTTTGACAAATATGTCAAAACAGGACAGTTTTATGGTTGAATAAAATAGAAGACGGAATGAAAAAAGAAAGTGGGTTGCTGTTAGCAACGAATAATTGTGGTTGGTGCTAGCTATGGCGGTTAACAAGGAAGAATAGGTTGTTGGAGGCGACGAAAATTTTGGAGGAAGAGCCCTAAAAAGGTGGAATAGTCCGGGAGTGCTTTAAAATCGTTTAATTATAATTTAGTTTTTCCACATTTTCAAATAGAGATATCCAGAATTTGTTCCAGAGAGTAAGAGAAATTTTGACTTATAAATTATAATTGGAGTGCAGAAATGTCATTTAGATTGAAAAAGTAAAAATTCATGAATTAACTAATTGCGATAGGCCTTAAAAATTGAAATATTAATGATCATTAAAATAAAAATATAATAGTACGTACCTTTAACTTCCGAAGAGAGGATAGATATTCCAGTATCACCGATTATTTTGCGAGTAGTTAGTTTTCTTTAAAAAAAAAAATCAGAACTGTTTGAAAGTGAGTTTGGATAATAATTTTGGGGATCATTTGAAATTTTGATTATATTTTAATGCTAGTTATAAGTCAGCGGCATAAAGTGTTCAGTTTTCTTTTCTTTATATTTCATTTAAACACTTTATAAAGTTGCAATAGTCATTTAGATTTAAGGTAATTGTAGAGAGTTTCCACATTTTGTAATCAAATTCTATTTTCACGACACATTAAGGTTTACACGATTCCTATTTTTGTAAATTTTTAAAGGCAACCCAAGTTGCAGACGAATTTTATTGTTTATATTAAATTTGTTCAATATTAATAAATAACGTGCTTCATTTGGGTTAATTTATCAAAAATATAAAGTAAATTTTGGTTTAATTTCTTTTTGAACTCTACCAGGAGACTACAGAGTTGACGTCACACAGTGACAGATTGCTTAGAACAAATAATTGAGCTAGCCGAGGTATAGTATATTAACAACGAACTACATACTTTTAAAATTCACTTCAATTCAATTAAAATTATATGTATTAACAATAAAACATAAAAATAATAAAAACAAAACTATTACAATATATATATATAATATATATATATATATATATATATATATATATATATATATATATATATATATATATATTGAAATGATTTCAATATGTTAAAATATATACAACTTTAATGGATTTTTATATGAGTTTGTTGTTTATGAATTTCATGAAGCCATCACAATGTGGGTTCGACTCTGAAATAAAAGAGAGAAAAAGATTAGTAAATTGTTAAATAAATTAATTTTGACTTACCTGGTATAGTGTTAATAATTTCTGAATAGTATAGTTGCCTAGTGTATAGGTGAATCGTCTAAACCTTAAAAAGAACAAAAAAAGAAGAATTTAAAAAAAAATATTTAAACATAGAAATTTTAATAAACGTCAGAAAATAAACTGCTTGACAGTTTATTTGACAGTCTGTGGGAGCTAAATTAATAGGGGTTTTGTTAAATAAGAAATTACAATGATGTGGAGATGAAACGAATAAATTAGTATTGTAATAGAATAAGTTTTATATCTAAACATTTTTTTTGTAAATTCCCAAATTATATGTGATTAAAGTGATTATGAGAAAGTAATGTGGCTTGACAAATATGTCAAACAGGACAGTTTTATGGTTTAAAATATTTAAATAGAAGACAGAAAAAAAAAAGAACGTTGGTTGCTGTTAGCAACGGATAATAATGGGAATTGGTTTTTGGAGAGGACGCCGACGAGGTTTTTTTGGACGAAGGAGAGCCCTGAAACCACAGATCACCTACCTCCCTAGATGTTCCACGACAATACTTTAGTTGGATATGAAATTCAGCGCTCCATAAGATTAGTATCGGAACTAATTCAAGCGAGAAATTACGCGGAAAATTCAAATTTTAATTTTGGTGAGAAAATTTAAATAAAGTTTAAAATTTTTAAATATAATTTGGTATATTTGAAAAAAAAAATGCATGACATTTTTAATTTCAAATATACACAATACAATTTTGGAAAAATAAAACAAAATGTAATTTATTTATTTATTTAATACTTGTAAAACAACTTTGTAATTTAATATAGAATAAAAATATGCTATTATCACTGAAAATTGTACAATTTTATGGAAAAAGCTTACAAAAAAGTCAGAAAAATAGCAATTTAAAATTTACTGAAATTACATAAATCGTCAATATCACAAAATAAAAAATAATAAAATACACAATGTATTGCAAAATTTAAATAAATTGCATAATAAATCCTTACTAACTAATACATTTTAATACAAGTTTCTGCATGTGATACTCAAATATATATTTATACAAATTGTTTAGTTACTCTTCTACTGAATAATATGATCTTTCAGATAGATAGGATTTTGTTCTTTTGCGGAACTCAAGGAAAGAAGTTGCAGATTTAAGTTCATCAATCAGTTATTTGTTCTCTAATATCAAATATTTATTGGACTCACCATACAAATGTAAGCTAGGAATTGCATTTTTATACAATTTCTGACTCCATGAAGAAACAAACTTATCTTAAAGTGTCTGTGGCAGATTCGTTTTGTTTTATAAACTGTACTAGCATTCATCATATCTAAATTAGGATTATTTATAACACTAAGCCACTTCCTAAATCGTGTAATCTCTTCATCAGGATTTGGAAAGGTATGTCTAATCAATGACGAATTAGTACATCGTAGGATACAACATTTATTGTGAAAAACCATATTTAACTGATTATTATTAATCTGCAAAATACTATTTGAACACCGCCAGGAACATTTAAAACATAGATCACTGAGGTAGGTAATTTGTAATTTACAAACTAAGTGAAACTAACAAAATCAAAATATAGACGCTAATATGACAATTGGCGATTGACAATTATAATTCTTTTCTTAGTTGTGTTCTAAACCTAAACTGCAGAGTAAAAGTAGAGACAGAGTAAAGCGACATCTGAAGATTAGTATCGGTACTACAAATGACATTAAGTTTAGTTTGACCTTGAGCTACCTACGTGAAACGTCTAGTTATTAGTGGTCTGTGCCTGAAACTGTGGAATAGGTCGGGAGTGTTTTTTAACTCGTCTAATTAGAATTTAGTTTTTCCACAGTTTCCACAGCAGAGATATCCAGAAATTTGTTCCAGAGAGTAAGAGAAACAATTTCACTTATAAATTATATTGGAGTATAGAAATGTCATTTAAATTGAGAAAATTAAAATTCATGCATTAACATAATTGCGATAGGCCTTAAAAATTGAAATTATTAATGATCATTAAATTAAAAATAGAATAGTACGTACCTTAACTTCCGAAGAGAGAATTGATATTCCAGTTTCACCGATTATTTTTGAGTAGTTAGTTTCCTTTAAAGAAATCAGAACTGTTTTAAAGTGAGGTTGGACAATAATTTTGGGGATCATTTGAAATTTTGATTATATTTGAGTATCAGTGGAATAAAGTGTTCATTTTCTTTTTCTTTATAGTTCATTTAAACACTTTATAAAGTTGCAATATTTATTTAGTTTTTAGGTACTTGTAGAGAGTCTCCACATTTTGTAATACATTTTATTGTCACGTCACTAAACCAAGTTAAGACTTAAACGATTCCTATTTTTGTAAATTTTTAAAGGCAACCGAAGTTGCAGACGAATTTTATTGTTTATATTAAATTTGTTCAATATTAATAAATAACGTGCTTCATTTGGGTTAATTTATCAAAGGTCTAAAGTAAATTTTGGTTTAATTTTTTTTTGAACTCTACCAGGAGACTACAGAGTCGACGTCACACAGTGACAGATTGCTTAGAACATATAATTGAGCTAGCTGAGGTATATATTAAATTAAACAACGAACCACATATTTTAAAAATTACATTTAGTATAAATAAAAAATAAAATTAATAAAATACAACTTTATCAATATATATATATATATATATATATATATATATATATATATATATATATATATATATATATATATATATAATTATATTTAGCTAAATACATAGGTATATTTTAATTCTATAAATCTTTTTTGCAGTTCACTACTGCGGTGCCGCTTGCATCGTTTGGTATTATTCACGGACAATTTTTAGCATCTCTAGGAGATGAAACGGCAGCAACTTCTATTTCTACATCTCTATTTGTAGCTGTTACATGTTGTTCAGGTAACAGTTAACATTTTATTTATCACAATATAAGTACATATAAGAATATTAAATCTAATCAAAAATATTTAAAAAATCAACAATAATTGAGAATATTTCAATAAAATAAAAGGCAGGATTGAAGGAAAACAATATTAGATAAAACTAGCCCAACTAAATTTTTATGTTGACTTTTCCCCAAAAGTAAATCGTATTATACTTTTAATTTATTATAAGACTTAACATAGGTACAATTGACCCAAATCGGTTCTCGAACTATATTATGAACGGAGTCAGCAATACTATTCGTTGAATTAGATTAAAAGGAAAACTGTGTCTATTTACTATCTTCGCTTTTAAATATGTAACTTGCTTTCCTTATAGAAGAGCAGAAACAGTAAATATCTATTGGATTACGATAACATTTATATTTTCTTCTTTACTAATTACTTAACTAATATCACACTGAACACTGGACTAAATTCAAATCGAACACATGTAAAATGAATTTAATTTGAATTTCTAAGATTGCTGTGTATATTATGTCACAAGAAGAACTACTTAATTTAATATATTATCACTCATGTTTCTTCGTATATCGTATTTGTAATTTGTTGCAAGGTTGACTTCTTTTAATATATTTTTTTTTATTTTAGGTTTATTTGGTGGTATATTGTTTAACAAATATAGTTATCGTACTGTTGGATTACTTGGAGCTGTCTGCCATTTAGCTGGATCAATATTATTATTCTTTGCTAATACTTTATTTCAATTTATAATTTGCGTATCTGTTATACAGGGTAAGTATAATTAGTTACAATTTTTAATTTGAATATACACTGCGTTCATTTGAAAAAGACACACCCTCAATATTTCAGAATTGCGACATATAAAAAATGCAGAAGCAGAATGCAGAAGCGGTTTTTTTAGGTTTACTTTTATTTTGGATAATAGTAACTGTGATGACGCCACCATGACGTCGTAATGATGTCATCCGTAATTGATATGCAAGGTGTTAAAAGTCAAATAATTAATTTGACGTTTTCAAAAATTATATTTAATACTTTTAACAGCAGAAACAAAAGTATTGGTCATTTAAATAAAAAAGCAGTTTGAATGAGTTAAACAAAAGATAAAACAGTGAAAACTTTGTTTTCAAACTTCCACAAAAATTTATTTTAACTCTTATCACTACAGCGGTTTCGGCTGATTGCCTTTCTCAAGTGATCTATGTTTGGCATGCGTTTACACTTTATAGTCTCTAATGAAATAGGTTGAGGAGGGGAGAACTGTTTGTCTCAAGTTGGTCATTCATAATTATATCTGTGTTTTTTAATTTGTTGATTTCCATAGATTCCAAGGGCACATAGGTTTATGTGCCCTTTTTACGCAGAATGGCTATTTGGGTCCGCCATGTTTTCCTCTTTAAAATGGTATAATTTTCATTTACTTATCTTTAAAAATGAGGATGGTAGAACTGTTTGAATACATATTAGTGTGCAGGATGTTTTTTCAGATATGTGATTGTTCATAAACGATTCTTCGTTTTCGATTCGTAAACGATTCTTTCGATCACTTGTAACGTGTCATATAATATTAATATATTTTAGTGATGTTAAAGAATCGGTGTTGTTATTCTGATAAGTTTTATTCTATTATATTATTACATCAAGTTTTATTCTGAGAAGAAGTATGATACGTAATGAAGAATATAGTGATTACGAAGATGTTCAAGAAGTTATTAGTTCTGATGGGAAGAAGAAAAGGAAAGTGATTCCTAAACAGAAAAATAAGAAACAAGAAACCAATAAATTAAGGCGTGTTCAAGGTGAAGAATACGTATATGTGTCAGGAAAGAAGGTTAGTTCCAGGTCATTCAATTTAGTTACTGACTGCTGTCAGAACAAATGCCACGAAAATCTGCCTCTTGATTTTCAAGTAGAGCTTTTTGATTGCTTTTACAACTGCCAGAACAAACGCAAATGTCTGCCTCTGCACCTAACAAGTGTACACAAATGTCTGGATTTGCATCTAAGGCTAAATTTCAACTGTGAATAATGCCATTCAAATCTCTGTCTATGAACATCATCATCAATCAGCCCTGAGTTGTCCATTGTTGAACATAGGCCTCCTCTAGATTTTTCCATCTGCTTCTGTTCTGCGCCTCTGCTATCCAATTGGTCACGATTCTTTTGAGGTCGTCGGTCCATCGCGTTGGGGGTCTTCCTCGGCTTTGCTTGTCAGCCCGTGGTCTCCACTCAAGCCATTTTTTTGTCCAACTGTCGTCTTTCATTCTTGCAAATGTCCAGTCCATCTCCATTTTTGCCTTGTAATATGTTCAATAATGTCTTCCACTCCGGTTCGTCTACGAACTTCCTCGTTTCTTATTCTATCTCTTAAGCTTGTTCTAAGCATTGATCTCTCCATCTTTTGTTGTGTCTCTCTCAATTTTCCGGCTGATGTTTTTGTGAGAGTTAAGTTTTCTGCTCCGAATGTGAGGACTGGTAGAACGCACCGGTTAAAAGCTTTTCTTTTTAAATGGATCGGTATATTTGTTTTAAATACGTCTCTCATTTTTTCGAATGCAGCCCAACCCAAACTTATTCTTCTAAGAAGCTCGCATGTTTGGTTATCTCGCGTTAACCTTATTTCGTGACCCAAATACACATATTTTTCCACAAGTTCTATGGGCGACTTTTCGATTTCTATTAGCTCATTGGGGACGAGGTTGGTCATCATTTTTGTTTTTCCATAATTTATCTTTAAACCGACTTTCTGGGTTACTTGCTGTAGTTGTTGTAGCATAACTCTGGCTTCTCCTAATTTGTCTGTTATGAGAACAATATCCTCGGCATATCTGAGATGATTGAATATCTTTCCGATGCTAATACCCTTTGATTCCCACTCTAGCCGTTTAAATGCGTACTCCATAACTGTTATAAATAGTTTTGGCTACAAGGTATCTACCTGCTGCACCCCTCTGCCAATTTTTATCTTCTCAGTCATGCAATGGAGGTTAACGGTTGTTGTCGCATTTTCGTATATATTTCGAATAATATTTGCATACCTGTGATCTATTCTGCATTCTGATAGTGCTTTTAAGATAGCAACTGTTTCGACTGTGTCAAATGCTTTGTGGCATTCTACAAAGATAAGAGCAAGGGGTCTGTTATATTCGATAGACTTTTCAACTAGAGTTTTCAGGCATTGCAAATGGTAGTTTGTTCCGTGTCCCGCTCAAAATCCTGCCTATTCTTCTCATTGATAGAAATCGAGTTTTGCTTCTAATATGTTTGTCAGTATTCGAGTAAAGAGCTTGTATAGGTGGTTAAGCAAACTGATTGGCCTATAGTTTTCGAGATCTAATTTATCCCCTTTTTTGTGAAGGAGGATCGTAACCGAATTCGTCCATTTACTTGGAATGTTTTCACTATGCAGACATAGATTAAAAAGTGTTTGGATTCGGGACATCAAAAGTAGACCTCCTAGTTTAATTGTCTCAATGACTACACCATCTTCCCCGGAGCTCGATTATTTTTCATATTTTTGAGGGCATGTTGAATTTCCTCTCGTGATATATCTGGTATATCCTCCGATCCTACATTATGTACATTTTGTATTGGTTGTTCGATGAGCTCTGGAATAACTTGACTTTTATATAATGTTTTATAGAAACTTTCCACTATATGTAATATGCTTGGTCTATCTGAGATAATATTTCCATTTTTGTCTTTAAGTTAGAAGATTTCTTTTTTGCCATTATCCATTTTTCTCCTCAATGCTTTCATGCTTTTGTTGTCTTCTATAGTGTTTATAATTTTCTCGTTGTTGTATTTCCTATGTCTATGAACATAAGGGTTAGAAAAATGGATTCCTATCAATGTTTACTTATGGAATCCAATATAACTCATTTTTTAAAAAAATGTCAAATGTCTGGTTTTGCTTTTATACACTTTATTTAAACGGTTTCTTAAATAAATGACTCAATTAATATATCTGTTTCGCCACCGGTAGTTCTGATTTATATTCGAGCAAATTAATTAAATTAAAAGTAAGCAGAACAAACAAAGAACGATATATTATTTTTGTACCCTTTTTAGGTTTGGCCGGTGGTTTTCTATTACCTTCAGCTTTTTCGTCACTGAACGATTATTTCCATAAAAAATTAAGTTTACAGACAGCGATAGCCCAGTTACTAATAACCGTAGCCACTGTTGTAAATCCTCTCGCAATGGAATATTGTGTTCAGTCATACGGATATAAAACGACAAAAATCGTATTGATTGGATGCAGTTGTTTAAATTTTTTTGCCATGTGGTCGCTTCATCCTGTAGAATGGCATACGGCAGCTAAAAAAGGTGAGTAATTCATAAAATCCATATAGCTTATTTTTTACTCCGATTATAAGTTAATTACTAAAATCAATTATGGTTTAATAGTATTTTACTTTATGAGGCGGAGAAGCATGACTTTTCTCGTCGCGCCCGATATTACGCGCCGAACGAAGTGAGGCGCATAATAGAGGGCAAGTCAAGAAAACTCGCTTCTTTGCTGAATAAAGTATACTATTTTTTCTTCAAACGTAGCAATTTTCAACCATGAATAGTACAATTCATACGCTATTTTTACTCGAAATTAACTGTGACAACTATCAAAGTCGTCTAGATGTTAGAAATTAAAATAATTAAGTCGTCGGTGGGATTTGCGTCTCCCTGGTTGCAGTTGTTTAACAGTTGTTTGCAATTATTAAAGACAGCTTATTGTTGTTCGCAAGCCGCCAACATCGGGAATGATTGTTGAAAGTTCTTCTCGACCATCAGTATCATCAAAAATTACCAATGCGTATCAAGAGTCGGGAACATTTTTGCACGGTTTCAATTTTGAAAATGCCTCATTAGCTAATTGTACTTTTAATATTACTATAAATACAAATGATGTTTAATTGTTGTTAATGACATTTGTATTGTTGCTTTGTGACATGTTTCATATTGTTGCCATGACAACATTTTTCCCTCCGCCGTAAAGAAATGGAAAAAAAAACTGCTGCCGGTAAAGACATCAAACTTTGACAGGATCAAGTTAGATAAGTAATGTCATCGTTATTTGACGTTTGAAGAAAAATATATTTGTAACATGGTTTGATTTAATTTGAAATTTAAATATCTGTTTTTGTGTGTTGTTTTTCTATACACCCCAGTACCATATCCAGTATCGTTCTTAGATATTAAAACATCCAGGAAAGGTAGTGTGTTATTATATCCCTTTTTCATGGTAAATGTTATTGTCTTTTCTTTATCATTTATATCATTCAGGAATGTTTTCAACAACTCTGATCCATGAGGCCAAATTGAGAGTACATCATCTACATATCTCCACCTTACTGTAGGGTTTAAATTTTGTTTAGAAATAATATTTGTTTCAAAATATTCCATAAATATGTCGGCTAACAATGGAGATAAATAAGAGCCCATTGCTAGACCAAAATTTTGTTCATAAAATTGATTATTTAGTTAAAAATATGTATTATCAGTACATAATGTTAATATCTCCATTATATCTGATATATTTAGTCTTATTCCAGTTGACAGTGTATCATCACACTCTAATTTTGTCTTGACTGTATTTAAAGTCTTATCTAATGGCACATTTGTAAATAAACTATCTATGTCAAAACTTACTAAAATATTATTTGAATTAAAATTCAATATTTGATAATTTATTTAAAAATGTTGTGCACTTTTTATAAATGTGTCACTTTTATTTGCAAGTGGTTGTATAATATTTAATAAAAATTTTGACAGTTTACTACAAGGAAAATTCATGCTATTACAAATAGGTATAAGTGGTATATTCGTTTTATGTACTTTCGGTACTCCATAAAAATGAGGGGTCTTACTGTAATTAGGTGTAATTAATTTTTTTTTGATAATTTGTTAAACAATCTTTAAACTTGAATAAAGTTAAACATTCTATTTTCCAAAGGCTTTGTTGGATCCTGTTAATTTTGTATAAGGTCAGTTTGTTATTAGATCTTTAATTGTGTTTTTATATTGAATTTTATCCATCATCACCGTTGCATTCCTTTTGTCTGCTGGTAGGATGATTATAGAGTCGTCATTTTTTAAAGTTCTTATAGCCTTTAGTTGCTCTTTGCTTATGTTTTGTTCAATTTTAATAGACTTCTCCAATTCAAGTTTACATAAAACTCTGTATTTCTGAGATAATAAAAATCCTTTGTAATAGGTCTATATTTAAGGCCCAAACGGGCTAAGTTAAAAAGACATAACGTTTTCGGAAACCATATTCCATCATCAGTGTCTAGGAGTACATGAATGTAGACTCCTAGACACTGATGATGGAACATGGTTTCCGAAAACGTTATGTCTTTTTAACTTAGCCCGTTTGGGCCTTAAATATATACCTATTACAAAGGATTTTTAATTAAATTTTTTAATACATGGTATACAGCCAACTACAGGAACGTAGATTCCTTGTGAAGTCAATAAACTTATTTTAACCTTCAATTGTGGCTTATTACTAATAAAATAGTAATTACTTTAAAATGCCACAAGAACCTAGCTACAGAACAATATTAGGGAGATGACTTTTCGCATTTATCTACAAGGTGGTCCAGAATTATGTACATTAATTTCTAGAGCTCATAGTACGCCCAAAAATAAGGGTACCTCTTTATGTACACTTTACTTATGTAAACTGAATAATAAGGGAGATACAACCCTTTAAAGGGGTGAATTGAAAATCTTATTTTTTCAAATATCTTCCAAACGGTTTTGAATACGGAGTTCATATTTTGGGAGTGATTATAAGACATTAGGATAATTAATTTCATGTCACCTCCTACCACATCCTATATTAATACAGGGTAGTTTTGGAGGGTAAGTGGGGGTTATTGCGTCACATGTTTTTTAATTTTTGCATATTTTAAAAAAATATTTTAAAAATTGTTTCCTTAGACTTTTCTACGCAAAAAAGGTGCTCTTGTAATATTTTGATAGATATCACCGTTTTCGATTTATTTAAACTTGAAGATATACATGTATTTTATTGTAATCGTTACATTTCTTAATATTCATCAAGTATGCTTTGGAATTGACACCTGTGTTAGTAACAACACTTAAATCTCAAGTATTCTATGAATTGTCAGTGACGTTTAATAACAATTAAATTATTTTATCTACACTTTTATTGTACTCGACAGTGAAATTTGTTTAACACGTCTCTTTTGCTATATTTTTAAATTTGTTTGCCCGCAATATGGCACACTATTCAAATTCTGAGATGACAGACATACTTTTAGTATTAGGGGAATGTTCGGGAAATGCTGCTGCCGCTGTAAGACGCTACAGAGAAAAGTATCCGAACAGAAATATTCCTAATGCCAGGACTTTTGTAAGTACTAAACGACGACTGAGAGAAACCGGTTGTCTTCAAAGAAGGAATACAGATGTTGGTCGTCGTAGAGAAGCAAGAAATGTTCGCGTTGAACAGCAAATATTGGATGCTGTAATAAATGACCCCACAATAAGTACACGCAGGTTAGGATTAAGAACGAATATTTCCCATCAAAGTGTTTTAAGAGTTTTGCATGAAGAGCAATTACATCCTTACCACTATCGACAGGTGCAGGAATTGTTATCTGACGATATGCCACTTAGAGTTGATTTTTGTGAAGTATTGCAAAATAAAGTTCAAACTGCACATTTTTTAAGCAACATTCTGTTTACAGACGAGGCCACGTTTACAAGACAAGGTATGTTCAATTCTAGAAATATGCACTTCTGAGCTGAAGAAAATCCAAGGGCTACAATGGAAACTCACTTCCAACACACGTTCAAGATAAACGTTTGGGCAGCTACTTTAGGAAATAGTTTCATAGGAGACCACATCTTTTCCGGAAATTTAAATGGTAACATGTATTACAATTTTCTAGACAATATTTTACATGATATTTTGGAAGATATTCCATTACAAATACGAAGAAACACGTTTTTCATGCATGATGGTGCTTACACCACATTACACAAGAATTTGTAGAAGGTGGTTACATGAACCTTTCCCTGATAGGTGAATAGGCCGGGGTGCAGATGCACCGATTCATTGGCCTGCTCGTAGTTGTGATCTTAATCCAATGGACTTTACAGTATGTAGTTATTTGAAATCAAAAGTGTATAACACTCCAATTAATACAGTAAATGAGTTAAGAGACAAAATTGAACAAGTATTTACCGATTTACAAAACGATCCAGTAACATTAAATGGATTAATGCGTTCGCTAAATAAAAGAATTAGATTATGTATTCAACAAAATGGAGGACATTTTGAACAGTTGTTGTGAAATATTATTTTCGCCATTAATTAAATGTTAAGTATTAATTAAGTTTTCCATTAAATTGTAATATTATTGCTAACACAAGTGTCAATTCCAAAGCATACTTGATGAATATTAAGAAATGTAACGATTACAGTAAAATACATGTATACCTTCGAGTTTAAATAAATCGAAAACGGTGATATCTATCGAAATATTACAAGAGCACTTTTTTTGCGTAGAAAAGTCTAAGGAAACAATTTTTAAAATATTTTTTTAAAATATATAAAAATTAAAAAACATGTGACGCAATAACCCCCACTTACCCTCCAAAACTACCCTGTAATAATATAGGATGTGGTAGGTGGTGACATGAAATTAATTATCCTAATGTCTTATAATCACTCCCAAAATATGAACTCCGTATTCAAAACCGTTTGGAAGATATTTGAAAAAATAAGAATTTCAATTCACCCCTTTAAAGGGGTAAATCTCCCTTATTTTTCAGTTTTATAAAAAAGTGTACATAAAGAAGTACCCTTATTTTTGGACGTACTATGAGCTCTAGAAATTAATGTACATAATTCTGGACCACCTTGTATATTGAATAAATGCCTACTAAAATTGCTTCTTTTCTCCAAAAAGTTATACCTATCGCTTTAAAAAAGTGATCTGATAATTTTGTGAAGCACTGTAATTTTTAACTACTGAACAGGTTGTAGAACTTACCAAGTCTTACTAAAAAAACTTTAGAACCGAGTAAAAGTTCTAATTATGTAGTTAAGCACAACAAATAGACAACTTTGCGAAAAAACCGCGTTTGAATCCTATTATATGTTATCAACAACTTCAGAGCCGAGAGCAATTTAACGTTAACCCGCAGTAAAGTAGATAGAAAGTTAATAAATTTCATCCAATTAAAACTTTGAAATTAATTTTCGTCTGAATGATGTGTTCCCTGCCAATATTTCTCTCTATATAACAGCCTGAACAAAAGCCAGCCTTAACTTTATTGTTAAATTTACACAG